ATCATTACCAGTATTGTACACTTAGATAATTACTTGACTGATATATTGTATATCGATAATAAAAATCAGCAGAGATGGCATGTCATAATGTCTTATTGAATGCCATATTTTAGTGATTTGATTGTAAAAAAAGTAATCTTTTGAAGAGTTAAGTAATTATCAGCAGTCATTGATAATTAACAATTTATTATTTTTTTTAAGCTTTCTATTCCTGGTTTTGCGCGATAACATCACTCAGCTATCTACCATTGGCCACTGCATAAAGTACCCGGGGTCTTTTTTAAGAACTCGATTTTTAAAATTGAATAGTACCCAGGAGTACTGTGTGAAGAGCCGGGTACTATTTATAGGGGGATACAATATGCAGGGGATATTGTATATGGGAGGTCTTGTGTAAGGATAATTATACGTATTATACAAACGACAGAAATACTACAAAAATAGTCAATACTGTATGCTCTATGAATTGTTGAATGAATCTCTACGATGAACCCAACAAACTTTTTTATAAGTATATTGAATATATATTTTTTTAATTAGTTTAATATACTAATAAAACTTTCAAGAAACTTAATAATGAAACTTGAATTATTAGGCTGTTAAAACAACACATTTATCAATTAAAAAAAAAAAATAGTCAAATAATATAGTTGTATTGAGAAGAACCTGTCGCATAATAAAAGAATTAAATAAGTTACAGGAAATTAAATCAAATAATTAAAATAAAAAAAAAACAAAAAAAAAAAAACAAAAAAAAGGATATAGAAAAATTCTTTCGAACAATTGCTTTGAGAAGCTTAAATATAGTGAAAAAATACTTGTGATTGAATATTGTATTAGAATCAAAGACATTTTTATTGAAGGTTTAGGATCGTAATGAGAATTTAGCAGTAGAATAAATTTACCTCCTATAATGTTTCTCTCTGATTAATTTGTGTAATGGTTAAGGCATTTATGCCCTGATATCTACTTCGCGATCTTATAAAAAACGCGAAAATTTTAATTTTAAAAAAAAAATTTTTGTCTAAAAATGCTGAAAGGAAATTTTAATGCACGACGAGCAACAAGTACGCAAAAAAAGCGCAGACAGTGGAATGTTCGTGAAAAATTGATGGTTGTATTTTATCAAGAAGGTGGGCACAATATTCGTGCAACAGCAAATAAATTTGAAATTGAGCCAAAACAAGTTCGAGACTGGAAAAATAAAAAAGAGGATTTAATGTGTGCAGCTCTATACATTCGACGACTTAATACTGGTGCACGACCAAAGTATCCACAACTTGAAGAAGAACTTTTGGAATGGTTTCGTGAGTTACGAAGGCAGCTGAAAACAATTACTAGATATATGATCAGTGCTAAAGCCCGCAGTTTGGCTACCAAACAAAAATATTGTGCTTTGTATCCTGATGTTCATGAATATCAATTTTCGCATAAGTGGGTAGATGGATTTATGTCTCGTTATACATTGGTGCACTGCAGACGTACTACAACAGCACAAAAGTTACCAGAGGATTATCAAGAACAACAGCAAAATTTTTTATCATTTATTCTTTATCGCTGAACTGAACATAACTACACCCTAAATTTAATTGACAACATGGATGAAACTCCTATGGTATTTAACATACCAAGTCAAAGTACTGTTGAAGAACGTGAAACACGAACCATCTCAATTCTTACAACGGGTCACGAACACACAAATTTTACTATAACTCTTGCATGTCTTGCGGATGGTACTAAACTTCCACCTTTTATTATTTTTAAGTTAGTTAATGTACTACGAGAGAAGTTTTCTGATGGTGTATATGTTCATGCAAATCCAAGTGGCTGGATGGATGAGGATGAAATGATTTGGTGGGTGGAGAATGTGTGGCGTCGGCGGGCCAACTTGGGTTCCAATCCACGTTCGCTTCTTGTTTTGGATGCATTTACTGCACATAGAACTGATTCCGTAAAGCATTGTCTTCGTGAGCGAAATACAGATATGGCTTTAATTCCATCTGGACTAACCTCATGCCTACAGCCATTAGATGTATCCTTGAATAAAGCATTTAAGGCAAAGGTTAGCATTACATGTTAAAAACAATACTCAGGTGTAAAGTCAAATTTTTGGTCATGCTATAATATAATTTCAATTAGCCAATAAAAACAAGTTTATCTAATCAAAAGATCCTTGTGCAACAATTGTAAAATTTGATATAAAAAAAATTTTTTTTATCAATTCTCTATTTTTTTATTTTTTTATAACAGGTTCGCCATTCCTATAATCGTTGGATGGATGAATCTATCAAAAAATACACACTAGCCGGTAAAATTAAACGACCATCATACTCACTTGTGACTACCTGAATCAAAGAAGCGTGGGACAATATTGACCCTGCTATGATACGACATTCTTTCAAATACTGTGGGATATCTACAGAAGTAGACAGGTCCGAAGATAATACAATTTTTGACTTTAAAAAAGTATCGGGTGAGAAAAGTGAAAGAGTTGGCATCGAAGAAGAAAGTGAAAGCGTTGAATTAACTCCAGAATTAACTCCAGAATTAACTCTAGATGACGATGAAGATGGCCCAGAATTCAATTATTATGAAAAAGGAAATGATGTTAATATTTGGGATTAATCAATCGGATACAACGTGAAATAACAAACCTTATAATTTTTTTTTTTTTTTTTTTTTTTTTTTTAAAAAATTTTTAAAGTTTTTTTTAAATTTTTTTTTTTTTTTTTTAAAAAAATTTTTTTCTTTTATTAAGTCAATGCGGGAAATAGATCTTGCTTCAAGAAAAAAAGACTAGCTGCAAAAAGTACATCTTTTAAATATATGGAACTATAAATTTTGGTGAGATCAAAATTCTGCAAATCATCCGCATCCAGTGAAATTTTAGAAAGTATACTTTTTATTCTACAGTATGTCTTTCTTTTAATTTTTTTTTTTTTTTGAAATTCTTTTAATTTTTTTTTTTTTTTGAAATTCTTTGCAATTTTTTTTTCAAAAGTTTTTCTACCAATTTTTGAATTTTATAATTTTCTCAATTTTAACTCTAATCATAATGTAAATGATTTTCAATATAACAACAATAAATGTATAGCGTTGACAAAATGATTATTATCAGTTTATATTCAGAACATTTCAGAATGGTTCCCCTGATTGGTTGAATCTACAAATTTCAGCATTATCCATCTCAATATCATTAACACGGTTAAATAACGCTTTCATATTGTTGACAACTTTAAACGTTCATATTAAATCTGTTGCCAATGTTGTTATATTCGCATTTACGTGAAGATTGCACTAGGTCATCAATAATATATAAAATGCCTAATACTCAGTGGTCGAAAAAAGATCTGGGAAAATAATATGCAACAAATTTTTCTGTATTTAAGAATAATAACTAATGCTAAATTATTCTTTCATTTAAACAAATGCTAAAATGGCAAGATTATCTTATTATCGCTCAATCAGATAACTTTATTAAACTAATTGGAAAACATATGGGAATTCCGTTTACCACCAACTTACGCTCTATCTGTTACCCTACAAATTCCTAATTAGTCAATATAGCTATAACCTTAAATGCCAACTACAACTCCCCATAACCCCAACATAGAGAGGCCGCTGTGAAACACTGAACTCTTCATATAGCTAAGACGAGAATCGATCTTATAATACAACACGAAAACTAATTACTTCAGCATGATGATCATTGTAGCACTACCACGCAGCCGCAGAGCCTAAACTCCAAAAGTCCTTGCACTGCTACTGAAGCCTCGGAGCCTAAATACTCACACAAAGCTTGCAACTACTACGCTCCTCATGAAGCTTAAAACCCAGGTCCTTGCACTGCTACTGCAGCCTCAGAGCCTACTCATCGCACAAAACAAAGCCTCCTGGACTGCTGCCACAGCCGCGGAGCTTAACAGTTACATAATCAAAAATACAAAACTAACATTGCCATTACAGCCACAAGGTTTGATATTACTCACCAATTTACCTTCTTACAAGCCAAACGCACCTCACAAATTATCGAGAGCCACTGTTAAACGGGCGGGTTGGGTGGGACGATAGAGCCAGCCTTCCTGCAAGGCGAGCGATAGCGAAAAGAAAGATAAAACCCTTACTAAATACATCATCCTTAAATACGCTGCCTTACCATCATCCCATACATATTATATATATTATATCATCCGCAACCATATGAAAACACCCCTTACTTTTATTACTTATTGCGGTTTGCAAAAATATGTGAAATTTGAAGATCATTAAAAAAAAAAAGTAATCACGATTTCTGATTACATTTTTTTGACTTTTAGATTAGACAAAATTTGTGCAGTTATTATTTTGTAAAAATTTTATTATTTTTATGGAAATAAAAGTTGCATACGTACAAATAATAAATGCGCAAATTTTGTCAAGTCTAAAAGTCAAAAAAAATGCTGAAGAAATCGGAAATCAGTGATTACTTTTTTTCGAATTACATTCCTCCGCCATTGAAACAATCACGATCATATGCAATCACAAACTAGACCAAGGAAAACCTGACCTAACTAGAAAACCTCCAGCATCCATTATATTCCATAAAAGGCTAAAGCCTACAAATTATGCATGTGACCCATAAAGTCATCTGATCTCGCTTTGTCACTTCGTTGACAAGCTACTCAAATATTATCACACCATGGACGATCATTCGCAGAGTGAAACTTATTTCCGGATCTTTTTTTTCACCGCACTAACAAATTAATAATGAATAAATTAACAAATTTAAGAATAATGTGCAATATATGATTACCTTTTCTAAATAGAAAATTTAGTATTAGCGTTAGACCTAAGGTTTACAAGTTTAGCGTGAACATTATGTACAAATAATTTTTAAAGTTGCATGCAAGTGGGTCTACGATAAATATGTAAGCCCAGTATATCTAGGGATATCTTTTTTAGTTTCATATAAAAGTTTATATCGATATTATTTCGGGAAAAAATGCAGGTTTTGTATTCTATTTGTCCCGCAATTTAGGTCGATCCGGATTTGGCAAGTGTCATTCATGAATCATGAAATGAGGGCCCGAACTTTCAAACATGTTTGCAAACTTCCGAATCGAACTCAAATCAAGCCCGAACCAAGCCGGAAGTTTGATATTCAAACTCGAACCAAACTCAACTATAAAAATAGTTTGAGTTCGAGTTTGATTTGAATTTCAAACCGAACCCAAACCATATCTAAAGTTTGATTTGGTTCGGGTTCGTAGGAACCCCATTTTAAAGTATGAAATTTTTAAGTATCTTTATATTATATAAATCTTACTCTTTACCCGCACCCTAACCTATTTAACTCTAACCCTAATTACATAAAATAAACTTGTATGTTATACTCGATCTTATGGGATGACAACATTGTCTAAGCGATAAATAATCTCTAATTTTTATTTTCAAATATTATTAAAAAAAATTTTATTTAAATATTTTAAAATTTAAAAAAAATAGATCATAAATATATTAGAACAAGGTGAAACCTGAGTCACCAGCTAGTAAAATTCGCTATATAGAGTGAAATCTAAGTTTGAGTTAGTGTTATTATTATACAAAAGCGGATTTCTAGCGATAGCGAATTTTACCAGCTATCGTAATATATTTATAATTTACGGAATTTATCATGACAATATATTCTTCATGTTTATATATAGCTGAAAGTCATGTGAAAAGCATGGTGGAAATAGGCGTTCCCTATTCTTATTACATTTATTATTAAATAAAGCTTATGACGCACTATTAAGTATTGATTATAATAAAAACTTGATAAAAACCAGTCTTTACCATAGCTTCGCTATGCACCGCAATCTTATGTTACTGAATTGGTACTAGTAATTAAGCATAAAAGCCATGTAAAGGTCTGCAGATCATGCGAAAATTCATCTTGTTAACCGTTTTTAGAAATCTTTTTAAACATCAGCCTACTGTTTATTTGTTTTATAAGAAGTCATCAAAGTACTGCGGATGACAAGGAAATAGTAATGATAATCAGGTTTCCGATCACTTTTGGTCTCAAAAAGGAAATATATTACAATGCAGAAGAATCATGGTTTTTTTTATAATGTGTAAGTACGTGTATCGTTGTAAACGGTGTGTTCCAAAATGTTATTTTTTTTAATAAATTCATGTCCAATGACGAAAGGTTTATAAATATCATTCTTAATGGTTCGACGATTATTAATTATAATATTATTGGCTCGACTAATAGAATTTATTAGTTTTCATACTAAAAACAAAAAAAGTCTTATACAATACATACTGTGTATGTATCTTCACGACACACAACGTCAAAGGGTCACAGAATATTTGTTACTGGTGCTTTAAAACTTTCCGCAGACGCATTGTCAATCGCAGTAATATGTTTAACGACACCTTTATGATTGGACGAGATTCAAGTTCAACACATCCTATTGGTCCACTCATACTTAACCCTGGCTGCTAGAATTTTTTTTTTTTACCCTAGTTTATCTGGATCATATCCCTTTTATACCCTTTTTTCTCAGCTTTGTTGCTTTACTCGTGTTTTTCTGATTTTTTCTTTTTTAATCTTTTCAAACCTGTCTTGAAAACTATTCTAACAAAATGAGAGAAATTATTCACTTACAAACCGGTGAGTATATTGTTACTTTGTTTATGATTTTTTTTAAAGTTACTTATCGCGTTTGTTTTTACTTTTACAAGGTCAATGTGGTAATCAGGTATAATATTGTTATTTTTTCTAACTTCTTATGTTCTTTATAAAAGCAACGAACTTTTTGCGTTATTTTTTAACTTATCTTCCTATTCACAAATAACGCGTCCTGTTTGTTTGTTTGTTTACTTGTTTGTTTGATTGCTAAATTATATTTTTTGTCCTTCGTTTACCTTCGCGTTATCTGAAAATTGCAGATTGGCCAAAAATTCTGGGAAGCCATCTCTGCGGAACACGGCCTTGACGCTACAGGTGCCTACCATGGTGACAGCGACTTACAGTTAGAACGCATTAATGTATATTACAATGAGGCAATGGGTGGAAAATATGTCCCAAGGTTTGTTGCTATTATAGAAATTTTCCATTTATTTGATCAAGAAATAAAAATTTGTCCATTTGGTTATATCTTCTACTTTATGTATAGGGCTATATTAATAGATCTTGAACCTGTAACTATGGATTCAATCCGATCTAGCCCGTACGGCTCCCTTTTTCGACCAGATAATTTCGTGTTTGGTCAATCTGGTGCTGGTAATAATTGGGCTAAAGGTTACTACACAGAAGGTGCTGAATTAGTCGATTCTATCTTAGATGTTCTTCGTAAAGAGTCAGAATCCACCGACTGTCTTCAAGGTTTTCAAGTGACTCATTCTCTTGGTGGTGGTACTGGTTCCGGTCTTGGTTCTTTGTTATTGTCCAAGATCCGTGAAGAATATCCTGATCGTATGCTGTGTACTTTCTCGGTAGTACCATCTCCAAAGGTTTCTGATACCGTTGTTGAGCCATACAATGCGGTGCTTTCAGTTCATCAATTAGTAGAGAACAGTGATGAAACCTTTTGTATCGATAATGAAGCCTTATATGATATTTGCTTCCGTACCCTGAAATTGACTAATCCAAGTTATGGTGATCTTAATCATCTCGTATCGGCTGTCATGAGCGGTATTACAACTTGCTTACGATTTCCTGGGCAGCTAAACAGTGATTTGAGGAAGCTCGCTGTCAATATGGGTATTTTATTAGTTTGTTATATACTTATGCTTCGATTTGTTTTTATCAATTTATTTATCACTATTATTGTTTCAATGAATAGTTCCTTTTCCACGTCTACATTTCTTTATGGTTGGGTTTGCACCACTGACCTCACGAGGGTCTCAAGGCTTCCGTGCTCTTACGGTACCAGAACTGACCGCACAAATGTTCGATTCCCGCAACATGATGGCTGCTTCGGATCCTCGTCATGGTCGATACTTGACTGTGGCAACGATCTTCCGTGGTAGACTTTCCACAAAGGAAATTGAAGCACAAATGCATACAATTCAAACTAAAATGAGCTCTTACTTTGTTGAATGGATTCCATCAAATGTTAAAACTGCTGTGTGCGATATTCCTCCAGTCGGTCTTACCATGTCCGGTACTTTCATCGGCAATAGCACAGCGATCCAAGAACTTTTCAAACGTATAAACACACAATTCACCGCAATGTTTAGGCGAAAGGCTTTCTTACATTGGTATACTGGTGAAGGTATGGATGAAATGGAATTCACAGAGGCGGAATCAAACATGAACGATTTAGTTTCCGAATATCAGCAATACCAGGATGCATCCAGTATGTAGCTTTATCAAGTTTGCGTAATCTTTTTTTCCTTCGTTGTGATAATACTAATGCTTTTGTGATTTATAGCTGAAGAGGAAGGTGGCGAATTTGAAGAAGGTGGGGAAGAATATGCTGCTGAGGAAGAGGCCGAGTAAAATATTATTAAATTTATATTTGGGTATCTGGTTTTTTTAAAAAATTTAAGAAATACGTTAAGGGAGCATAAATTTTTAGATAATTTTTTTTTTAAAAAGATAAATTATGTTTACATATAGTTCCCATCATCATAATGCATAAATTATATAATGGACAATTGGAGTTTTTTTTTTCTTCACATAGATATATATACATTTATTACAAATATTTTGATTAAAAAGAATAAAATTTATCTTTTATTATATTTGATTTATTTGATTGAACATATCTTAATTTACAAAGATGATCTTATTTCATTAAGACAAGAATAAAGATGGCGATCGATCAATCATATGATTGATTGATCGTTCGTTCGTTCATTAAAAAGGTAGTGTTCTAGATTAGATTTAATTTTATGGTTGATCCTACAATCTAAATATGAACACTATACTAAGATCGCGGAAATTACCGTTATGTGTACAAATTTTCTACAAATCCTTAATTAAATACA